TTGTGGTGTTACAGACACCAGTCTATATCAGCTTTGGTTCTGAGACAGCAGCTTTCGATCTAGGATTAGAAAAATGATCCGGATGTCACAGATTTGTGTATGCTTTTCGTCTATTGCACATCTTGAGATTGCGCATGAGTGTTAAAGCCAGCAGATCACGAGTTTCACGTGAACTCGGATTTGCATGGTAAACCTTCCAACCGTCGAAAAAATAGAACCATTTAGCCAATTCACATCAAAATTTCGTCCGGCAGGTGACAATAGGAAGCTCTGTACATCGCTTCCGCCATCACTGAAGTTCAATGGAACTGTGAACCAACAGTCGACCACTTGGCTGTTGTTTTAAACACTTAACTTCTCTCTTACTCTCATACACCTGTAGTTGTCGAGCTGTCATAAACTGTCATAATGACCCTCAGATACTCCTGAAAAACGTAAAATATGAAACCAAAACATTACTGTTGGGTTCGGACGAACACGTTTGTCTGTGAGAGGGCCAGCTTCCACTCAGTAATCGTATAAAAACTCGCTTATCACGAGTGGTGTTCAACCACAATAGTGTTTCCTTCACCACAGTGTAGCACAGTATCTTGTGACAAAACAAATAACTAAATAATTATTTTCGTGAATATTGAATTGTGTTTTTAAATGGATCGCAGATTGAGGCAAAAATGACCTTTAGGCGGATGGTTTTGCCGGTAGGAAGCAAGTCATATCACCAAACAAAAACAGGTCCATAGTGACAAAACTTCGTGATTCACATCATCATCAAATTTCATCAAATCAATGAACTCTGTCTACTGTGTAACCGTCAAACCACTGTATAATGTATGGGGCAGGAGATCAAGGATGACGTCGGATGGGGCAACGCGGATTAAACTGCTCGCGCCACTTTACCGAGGGAGAAGCGCCCAGTCTCACAAACATTACAGATTCTTAAAACTCGATGTCGGATCCGCGTTCTGAGCTTCATAATCTGTAGATCGCTGTGGTGGTTTGCTACTGTAACCAGCAATTTGTCGACAGTATTTTCCTGATTTGGTGAGGAGCTGCTCAATCCTCTTGTTACGAGAAGCTCACTACAGTTGGTCTATTAGGTTGTTATCGGTCGCTCCAACTTGGTCCTGCCATTTTGCCGAAGAATTTCTTATTCTGCTCAAAAGTGATACAGAAATTCGCAAATTCGTGTCAATGGTGATTTCGCCTTACCACTGTTAGTTTTAGAATTCCATGGCTACAAAATTATCGGCATCAGTGTATATTCAGTACGATCTTCCTAAATGGATTTAACTAGTATAAATCGTTCGTCAAGGTGAAGATTAGGTCTCCAAAATTTATTTTCGCTAAAAGAAATTAGGAAGAACGTTGGCCTAATGAAAATAAAAAAATTTAAACTAATGCTTTTGTTGATATTTCTTCGTGCAAATGAGGCCGATCGGTGCTGAAATGCCGGGAAATTCTTTACAGCAATATCATCCTTATTGGGAATCATCATAAGTGTGCATCTCACGAAACTCCGGAGAGTTTTGAACCCGCAACCTGCTGGCTAGTAGTTTGAACACCTAACCATTCGGCTACGAGCTGCTGATCATGAGTGTGATTAACTCGCACCTGGACACTCGGTCACCACGCGCCCAGTCGATACTCTGCTGTCGTCTGTCGCAATTGCTCGGCGATCCCGAACAACTAGTATATCAGAATATTTCAGTTGTAATGGAGTACTGCAAAGTAGGTGCTCCCAACTCCTCGATGAATGTGTACCCCAGTCGACGGGGACATTTTGCGAGTTCCATTTCAATCCGATTTCGGTGAGCACATCTAGCGTAATGCGTGATCCAGCAGGAGTGCAAACTTCGCACTAACCTCTCCGGTTGGCCACCGTTTACACCACATATAATCGTCTGGCCACCATGACCAGGTCACGCGCTCCTAAATCTCGTCCTGTGCAGGTTGCATCAGACCTGATACCGTGGATAAATCATCACTGCATTTGTATCCTGGCTTGCTTGACTGAGAACTGCTCCACAAGCTGCTCAATCCTCTTGTTACGAGAAGCTCACTACAGTTGGTCTATTAGGTTGTTATCGGTCGCTCCAACTTGGTCCTGCCATTTTGCCGAAGAATTTCTTATTCTGCTCAAAAGTGATACAGAAATTCGCAAATTCGTGTCAATGGTGATTTCGCCTTACCACTGTTAGTTTTAGAATTCCATGGCTACAAAATTATCGGCATCAGTGTATATTCAGTACGATCTTCCTAAATGGATTTAACTAGTATAAATCGTTCGTCAAGGTGAAGATTAGGTCTCCAAAATTTATTTTCGCTAAAAGAAATTAGGAAGAACGTTGGCCTAATGAAAATAAAAAAATTTAAACTAATGCTTTTGTTGATATTTCTTCGTGCAAATGAGGCCGATCGGTGCTGAAATGCCGGGAAATTCTTTACAGCAATATCATCCTTATTGGGAATCATCATAAGTGTGCATCTCACGAAACTCCGGAGAGTTTTGAACCCGCAACCTGCTGGCTAGTAGTTTGAACACCTAACCATTCGGCTACGAGCTGCTGATCATGAATGTGATCAAGTCGCACGTCGACATGATAAGGCGCCGCCCAGAGACAACCCGGAGTTTCGTGAGATGCGCACTGGTCATGATTCCCAATAAGGATGAAGCAGCTGTACAGTGCCTCTCGGCTTTTCAGCAAACATTGGCTTCACTTACAGGACGAAATCTCCACAAAAAACCCCAATTTATTCACACTACCAACAATTTACAAGTAGCTGGTTGGGAGAATAAACTTCACCCGATGTGTGGAACTTCCTCTGAGAAGTCGTTGCTTGAGGAGCGCGTCAACACGTGTGACCACGTGATGTGGATCCCGTGACTGAAGGATGAGCGGCGCTATACCGTGCCTCAGTGGGAGTTAATCACACTCCTGATCAGCCGCTAGTGGCCGAATGTTTAAGTGTTCAAACTACTAGCCAGGAGGTCGCGTGGTTGAGACTCTCCGGGTTTCCCTGCGATGCGCACTGCTGATGATTCCCAATAAGGATGAAACAGCTGTACGATGGTTTTCGGCTTTTCAACACAGATTTGCGTCATCGACAGGATGAAATCTCCGCAATAGAAAACTAAGTATTGAGCTGTACTTCGTTGTTACGCAAATGAGTCTAGAGTATTCTAGTGCAGTCTGTTTTTTTTCCTGCCACGCGCCCCCGATCTTTGATTTCGCGCCCTAACCAGTAAGATTTCACGATCTCCGTACTGAAAACACTTTCACTCGGAATGGGGGAATCTGACAGCGGTTCTATGGTTTTTGTTTTGAATATGTGAATCCGAGTGGAACCTGAGTGGTGTAACTCGCTTCCATCATTTCCGTAGCACGACTATTCGGGGCAAACTATGAAATGTCAAGTACTTTGCGACATGCTCAACCCTATGTCTCCTATTCTGAATATCGAAGCGGGTCATTTTCATTAGTCAACCTTCAGCCTAATGACACGAAACGCAATTCACGTTACGCCCATCCAGAGATTTTCGTTTGGGCTAACTATCAAACTATTGCATGCGGTGTTCCATCTATTCTCTGGTGTTGCAAAGTCTACAGAATTTTGGACACAAGCAACGCCTCGAATGATTTGCGCCCCGAGACGAATGAACCAAATGACCACTGGACGGAATGCTCGAGTTCAGTTAATTCCCCGTTAGAACAAGGTTAATCTGCAAATGTGAGTATTATAATTTAAAGGTCACAATTTGGAAAGTAACCTTTGGATGCCCGAAACCTACGGCGACCCTAGATCTCCGCCGAAATCTGAATAGTAAACCCAGCAAGCACCCAGGCCAATCACCAATTCAATCAATGCAGAGAATACCGATGAGTGTTCATGCACGCCAAAGTAGCACGACCGAATGTGATCAGCGTTCGGGCATTTCATAGAAGGACGATCGATGTTGACGGGTGTTCGATAACGCGCATTGGGCTGTCAAAATCAATTCCAGATAATGCTCTTTAAAATAGCGCGTGGTCATCGTAACTGTTAGTCTCGCCCGCATTCGCTTGTTTGGGAATAAGCTGTTGCTTGCAATTGTCAGTGAGTTAATTCTGACACCAGGTACTGGAACGGGATCTAGAGTATGTTGCAATATCCTGCCCTAAACGATCGGTTAATTCTGTGCGTAACCGAATCAATCAGATTGCAGCTCAAGTTAGGGTAGACTGGACTCCCAGTCGCTGGTGGTTTGCTTGCTTGTCTTAAGGTGCCAGTCTTGGTGAAACACGTTTCTTACAAAAGAAGATAATGGTAACGCGATATATTGCTGGCTACTGGTCATATAGTCACAATACGAAAAGTTACCGGGACTAGTAATACGTTGTCCTTGAGTTGCTTATCGCCGGGGACTTGCAGTCGGTAGAACTACATACCAAGAAGCGAATGACGACGTATTTTGTGCTGGTGTTATAGAGTGATCTGCCTCCACTGGAGGGGATGTTACGAAATGACATCTAGCTCAGTGCGGTGTAGAAATGTTCGTTCAAGTCCAAATAACAATTCTGATGGTTGGACAAACTCGCATGATCATGACGACTTCAACTGAGCATCGGAGAAAGTGGTTATTGGCTGTATGATAACTTTTTAAATGTTTAGGGGGCCAAGTTTGACTATGCGTCTCTGGTCCGTTTAGAGGAAACAAGAGAAAAGATTGGGTTTGCAGAGTATGTTCGAGTCGACAGATGACCCGCTAACTGTACCAATTTCATTGATTGACCGGTCTATTATTATCAGTCCTGTACACCTAACGTGCAATAGTACGTCAGAATTGTGAAAGCGTCTTGATGAGTTCACAAGTATTGAGATTCCGGACGATTTTACCTGAATTCCTCCGGTTTATCACGGATGATTTCTTGAACACAAGTTTGATGGGAAAATGCAACAGGAAACTGAATAGTTGCAATTCATTTTATTCTGGCAGAATCACACAACATAGTGCGTGTCCGTTAGGCGCAGACGCTGCGGACAGCCTCGATGAGGGTTTCGGCCTCGTATCCGGCTTTGCACATCTCCATTGATGAGTTGTTGTGCTCAGCTACCTCTGGGACCTGAAAACACAGAGGTAACTCTGCTACAAAACCCATCCAGGCATGCAAGCGAAATATTCAATACGCGTACCAGAGAACCAGGACCATACATGTCCAACACAGGTTTGGACCAATGCCTAAAATGCTACCAAATTGACGAGGGAGTGTGCTCGCACAAGATTCACCCTAACGTAGACCAACAGAATTCATGACTCCTCACTATGTTAACAGTGAGGGAGCTTTTCATTGATGCACACTGAATGCTGAGCAGTTACTGGGCCCAAAATTAGAAAAGGTTACTTGTGAGAGGTTTTGACGACTCTCAGCATATGTGAACTTCAGACATTTCGAAGCGTCTTGATATGCACTCCTTCACTCTTAGCAGAGAACACGTAAAAGCCTTCAGCCACATAGCACACGAGTGAAATAGTGTGAAATCCACGCAATGGTTCGGCTTGAATTACCATACCAGAAACTTTAGCCAGAAATGCTGGCCAAATAGTACTTCCGAACATTCCTTAGCACCGTTGAGCGCAAGGACCATTCGTCGCGACTGCCCCTTCTCAGTTCCGTAGGAAAGCAACCAATCGGCCGAAGTAGTGGATTTTGGGTGGCTTGGAGTACATTCGTATCAGCTAGAGAACGGGGCCTGCGGAACAATTGAGATACTGAAGCCAACTCAACTAAACCGAACTGAACAATCCGATATCTAATGTATTGAATTGAACCGAACTAAATCGAACTCAAACGAACTGAATTGAACTGAACTGAACTGGAGCGAAGTGAAATGAACGGAAATGGATAAGACCCATTTGAGAATAATTAAACCGAACTGAACTGATGTGATCAGAACTGAACTCAAGTGAAATGAACACAGCTAGACTGAAATCAGTTGGTCCAAAATGACCAGACCCGACCTGAACTCAGCTGACCTGACCTGATATGACCTGAACTGAACTGAACTGAACTGAATTGAACTGAACTAAACTGAACTGAACCGAACTAAACTGAACTGAACTGAACTGAACTGAACTGAACTGAAATGAACTAAATTGTACTTAGACGACTTCTATCAGGTGGCGCTTTTGTTGATTTGATCACAGGTTCACGTCATGTAATTGGAGAACTAATTACCAGTGCACTTCGAATTGTTCAATATTTCGATTGTTCTTAACCAATGTCCACCTTCTATGATTCGTCTTGGCGATAGGCGCCATAGACATAAACTCGCTTCGAAATCTATCCCACAAATTGTTGAACACCATGTTTCGGAATGAACTTTCAATGTTAAGGAAAGAACAAGAGTGCTGTTGATGTGAGTGCCAGACTCGCCCTAAAATTCCCTACTGCGAAGGTCGTATGCTGGACATTTACCCATGAGTACTTTGGTAATGCTGCTCGTCTTAGGTGACGCTAAGTTTAAATGAATTGGCAAACAAGGTGCACATCTTTTTGGACACTTGTTTGTGTGCACCGTTAGGTCAACTAACTTGCTGCATTGTAAAGCAGTGCGTCTCGAATTGATCCAATAAGGCCTCGAAACATATGAGCTCATCCCTCTTGGACAAGTAGTTTGCCATTGGCTTATGGTGGGTTGTCACATCCATAACAATGTCGTGGAACGTTTCCTTAAGAGTGTGGCCAAGCTGGAAAAAAGCGACAGGAACAGACGCGGGAGATTTTCGCCAGATGTAAGCGATTTGCCGCCCAACTAAATGGACCACAATCAATTTTCAGCTGGCTTCAAGAAACGGCAGCCGAAACACTGAATTTATTACCGTTTACCTGCCCCATGCATTCTCGACACGTATTCACCATAAAACAAATCAATTCTCACCCAGACCGATATTTACATCGTACAATGATTTATCTTTTAGAAATGAATTGTATAAGAAAAGCAACTATAAACCTGAAGTGCACGGTTCAGTTTTCGCCGAACTTATTCGTGTCCTTCCTTATTTGTGGCCTCCATCAAGCGTCTAGTCGGTGAAAACAGATGCGTCCGAGATGCGGATTTTCCATCTACAATATCCGGCTTGAACAAAGGAAACGATTCAGCGCAATCTACTGATAAAGCAAGCTACGACAATGCTCAATGAAAGAATGGCCTTCCTAGACTACTGACATCTGTCTATCTATCTATCTATCTATCTATCTATCTATCTATCTATCTATCTATCTATCTATCTATCTATCTATCTATCTATCTATCTATCTATCTATCTATCTATCTATCTATCTATCTATCTATCTATCTATCTATCTATCTATCTATCTATCTATCTATCTATCTATCTATCTATCTATCTATCTATCTATCTATCTATCTATCTATCTATCTATCTATCTATCCATCTATCCATCTATCTATCTATCTATCCATCTATCTAGCTATCTAGCTATCTCTCTATGTATCTATCCATCTATCTATCCATCTATTCACTTATCTATCTACAAAGGTATCTAACAAAATGTCTCCTTCTCTATCTATCTATGCATCGATCTTCCTCTCAAACTGTCCTTCTTTTTTTCTATTTATTTTTTTGGCTGTATATATGTATCTATGAATGTAGGTATGTATGTATTTTAGGATACATCATTCTATCAGAGAAACCGGAACTTATCTAACACAAGTGGGTGAAACATATTTCAAATTCTGGAATATATCATTGTTGTTCTCGCTATCGGGAGATGGGTAGTCTTCCGGTGGCTGAATTTAGCCGCACCTCTCAAGTACCCGTTTTTCTAAATAAAACGGACAAAACTGAACTATGGTAAATCACTTAAGACACTCGAATTAGGACCAAGTTAGGATATTAAGGAGAGAACCTCGGATGGTTGAAAGCCTCTTTATCACTGAAGTGACTGACAGAATCGATTACAAAGCAACCCAACTTACTAGATTGGCATTGGACTGCGGGATTAGTCACTTGGTTCCCTAAACATTTAACGGTGTAAGTAATGACTGTTCCAATAGACAATTCAAAATGTCGAAAATTGCGCTAAACATATACTGTTATTGCCACATCATTGCGGTGCGTCAGTAGATCATATTGACCTCGGAACTTTCCAACTGGGAGACTTCCCATCGTCTGAAATGAACAATAAACAGACATTGGTCAGTGTAGTATCAACTCAGAAACCGTCTTATTCCACAAAAGAGGAATAGGTATAAATACATCCGGCGTTCTACAATACGGCTACACGTGCGCAGTATCCGCAGTATCCACTCAGTGCGCAGCTGGGTCAGTTTGGCGACAATACGTCCGTTGCTTCAAACACTAACGACCTTTCTGATTCTCTTACAGGTGGATCTGATGAGCATGCAACAAACACTGAACCTGAAAATCCGACGTTGAGAAGATCTGAAAGGTTAAGATTCCAACCTCTAGGAGACTGTAAACAACCGCACGCTCATTCAAAGTGTGATGGATGTGGTGAATATTGACTCTATTCTATTCATTCGATTTAGTGTATTTTATGACTTTGTTTTACGACGAGATTGACAGTACGCTCGAGATATACGAGAATATACGATACTCAATCGTCCATATTCGGACATCTATGCTACGCGTACATTCGGTAGTTAAGATACATACCACTATTCTAATTATAACAAACATAAATGAGGATGTAACAGTTATACATTGCTTGCCGGCGTTTCACCACAGGCAGTATTCTAACTCGTAAAGTACGAGGGCTAATTAATAGTCACTAAGCTTCCTGCTGTCTCTCAAGAATTGAATAGGACATCTAGTCTTCGTATTGTCTACTCACCAGGAGTGGCCGTACACGACCAGCTTCCTTGTTTATCGTATCTACGATTGCTTAACAGTGCAAATGAGTCTACCCCGGTGTATCATGTGTTATGTTGACAATGAAATTCCCCACGTTTATTATGTCCCCAATTTTATCCCGCGCTCCACTTTTGTGTTTGGTGTGAATATATCAGCTGACGTTTGTTCGTCCTTACCACTTCACCTGCTTGTCCTTGAGGTCATCCGGCCGTTTGTATCCAAAAGGAGTGTTTGTTTTGAACGCCAAGAGTTGTGTAATTTGCGATTTTCTCTTACACTAATAGTGCCGTACAGATACCTAGCTCGGACTGTGCTTTGCCTACCCGGAGGTTCTGATATTATGCGTCATTCGAGGATACCGTTTACTCGTTGCAGTACTCGACATCTTAAGTCGCCTTGTTTGTAGTAAAGCTGTCATCAATTGGGAGCAATTGTGAAGGACACGGTATCGAAGGATGCGAAAACAACTGAGGCTGCGGAGGAAATAATTGCAATTCAGTTTGCTTCGCGCCCCGTTTCTTGTAAGTCACTTTGTGCATCTAGTCGTACAAGTAGTGTAACCAAGAAAGCCTTAAGGACTGGTCAGCTCCAGGAGTATCGGGTTAAACGGGAGGTCGATCTACTAATGCTTTCATTGTTTTGGTTCGCCGGACAGTCGTTTTTGCTGCGTTTCCAAAAATTTACTTCATGATTAAAAACAAAGTTGGCGTTGGCGGTGGCGGTGGCATCGGTAGTGGCGTTGATTGTTATGGTGGTGACGGTGGCGATGAATAGTCATTTGCGGCTTATCTGCAACAGTTTTGACAAAACTCACGTATTCCGAATCCGTAATCCAGGCATACGAGTATTCGGTCGAAAGACATGAAGTGATTTCCTTGTCGTGACAAAAGACAGCCCTGCTTTTTTGCTTTTCTTTGGCTGAGGTTGTCACATAGACTGCAATTTTTGAGGGTTCAGACAAAAGAACGAATGGATAACTGCTAAATAAATGTGAAATTACGAGTTATGTTATCGACAAACTGACACTGACACACTAAACTCTTGACGCTACAAGAATTCGGAAACTAACACACTAATCAGAGGGTCGCTGAAAAGTCTTTGACAGAACACCATGGTTTTCACAATTTTCGGGTCAATAAGAAAGGCACAGTCCTCAAATTTGCTTCAATCATAATCAATTATTGGAGTCACTTCAGGCCGTCTAAATCACATCAGTATGGAGAC